TCTTTTGGTCCTTATCACTGAGAGTGGAGATTGTTATTTTTATACCACCTCCACTTCTTCCTCTTACCAATGGGTAAAAAAAAAATAAAAAATAAAAAAAAAATTCTGCTTTCAGAGACAATGTCTCCACCAATCACAGTTCATTACTTGCCTTAGGGATGGGCACAAGACACAAATCTTGAAAAACACAGTAACACACGACCCTATCCCCCTCTATGGTAACTGTCCAGGGATGGATACTGAGTTCAAAACAGACCAATCAGCCCTGGCTGGTTTGGTTCAGTGGATAGAGCATCGGTCTGGGGACTGAAGGGTCTTAGGTTCAATTCCAGTCAAGGGCACACGTCCAGGTCGGGCTTGATCCCCAGAAGCAGGCATGTGCAGGAGGCAGCCAATCAATGATTCTCTCTCATCGGTGATGTTTCTATCTCTCTCTCCCTCTCCTTTCCTCTCTTAAATCAATAAAAATATCTTTAAAAAACAACAACAGACCAATCATAACTCTTCCAAGAACTTTTACATGAAGAGTCCCTGCCTCCTTCAAAAATTGTAAGTGTTAAAATCTTGGTACTTCTGGGCCTTTCCCTTCCGGTAGGTGAAGACAGACTGACTGAGAATTGAGTCAACCACAGGAAAGCAAGTCTATAGCAGTGGAGCAAAAGTGACAGAATGGCATTGATCAGAATCTGGATAAAGACTAATCCTGAAATTTTTAGTAACATAATCCAAATATTTTCTTTTCAAGATTGTTACAGTCATTGGCTAATTATTTGTGGTCACCTGAAACTGAGAGTCTTACAGTTACACTTTCTGGTATAAATCTCACTATTTTTAAATTTATGCCACAATTTATTAGGAAAATATTTTGTTAAGGCACAGCTGTAGCAGAATTGTAATATGCCTAGACTTGTAGACATGATGTAATATAGGTCTGTATCATCTGATTTTCTCAAAGCTCATAGAAATCCAGACTAATCCTCACCTCTATAATGTAATGACCATTTATCATTCTAAGTTATTCTTTGGGTTGTCTAACAGAAATATTAATTTTTAATTAATCTTCACCTGAGGATAGTTTTCCATTGATTTTTTAGAGAGATGGAAATAGAGAGGGAAAGATGAGAGAAATATCGATGTGAGAGAAAAACATCAATTGGTTGCCTCCTGCAGGAGCCCTTACCAGGGCCCAGGCTGGGAAGGAGCCTACAACCAAGATACATGCCCTTGAATGGACTCAAACCCAAGACCCTTTGGTCCTCAGGTCAATGCCCTATCCACTGAGCAACACCTCCTAGGGCTAGAAATATTTCTGATATCAAAAATATTGAAACTGGCAATTTCCAAGGTCATTATTAGCTAAGTAAACAATATTGTCTTTATTTCAATTGGTCATGCGGCTAAGGAATACTTTATGTTGTTGTCAAAATACAATTATTTCCTTATAGTTTTATCACCCACAGCCTATACTGGCAATGTAAAATTGATGTAAGAAACCTATATTATCCTTGAGAGCTATATCTACTAGAGCAAACCAAGGACAGTGAATATTTGAATTTTTCAGATCTGCTTGGCAGGGTACATTCATCCTCACACAATTCTCCATGATAAATTCATAACAATTATTTAGACACTGCTACCAGTAAGATACACAGTTATGGTATGAGCTAGAAAATGGTCAACAAAGCTATCTAACTATAATCAGTTACAGTAATAACTGTTCTCCATATTTACCATATCTTGGGACTGGTGGCATTTTGTTTTGTTTGACTGTTTACTTATCTGTCTGATGCCTTACCCAGACTAAGCTACATAAGGATCTGAGCCATTTCCTATTCACTACTGTCATCCTATTACCTACCACAGTGCTCATGCTCAAGAAGTGCTTGTTGAATGTAAAAGTAAATAAGTGAGCAAATATTAATGCCACATTAATTCTATTATAAACTGCAGGAAAAGATGAAAATGTTCAAAATGTTTTTATTTTATTTTAAGGAAAACTAGTAATTTTTGATCACTTATAGATTACATGAAATAATAAAAACAATGTCTTGTTTGTGAAGTTAAAAAATACAAAACTAAAACCCATAATAATTATTATATGCATACTATTGAGAAGTGGGGTTAACTATAGTTAACCAGCTTGGACGATAGGACAAAAACACCCACCGGTGTTCTCTTTGCAATTACATGACATTACTATTTTATTGTCATCATTATTGCCCAGGCAATTAACTTTACTCTTTATTACATGAACTTCCCAAAGGAACCGTTAACTTCTTCAATTGAAAGTATTAACATTGATAAAACTCTTCCTTGAAATACCCTTCTTTTTTTCCACCAATTGTAAACTATTTAATCCTGATCCTTACCCATCTTAACCAAGAGTCCATATTGCAAGGTCCATTTGGGCTTTGCTTTTCCTCCCCAGAGTCTATTAAAGCTGTTATCATGGTCTTCTCTGTCACCAAGGTAAGCAATAAACTCAGCTCTGTCCTATCAATATAGTGTGGTGATATCTGGGGAGTTAGCATTCATAGTAGTTAAAATATTCTCAGGTAATTTTATATTTTGGGAAGGAAGTAAACTTTTATTGGTTTTAGATATTTAAGTTAATATGCAGTCCTAGGTAGCCATTAGAAACAGACTATTTATTAAGATAAACAAATTATCTAACCTATCTGCATTGACATGAGCTAGCTTTAAAAAATATCATATTGTTTTGTTTTGCTTGTTTTGAAATGCATAGCAAATAACCAAAGTAAACACTCAAAATTATCCCATTAATATATTTTTCAAAACAGGCAAAAAATAATTTACTATTTATAGGACAGTATATATGGAAATATATGCATAAAATTATAGAGAAAATCAAGACATGAAGTGAAAAAAGCTAAAGACATTGATTAGAAATGAAGGGATAAGAGGGGTAATCAGGAAAAAAAAACATAAGGGACTTCAGAACTATTATTGAAAAAGTCACATTTTTAAGTTGAGTCTCATACTGTCTGAGTTAGACATGCAGAATGATAGTTCAATTATTATTATTTAACTAGAGATTGGAGAGGGTGCAGGCTGGGCTGAGGGACACCCCCCCCCCTCCTGTGCATGAATCTGGGACCCCTTGAGGGATTGGGCCTAAATGAACAGTAGGACATCCCTCTCACAATCCAGGACTGCTGGCTCTCAACTACTTGCCTGCCTGCCTGCCGGCCTGCCTGCCTGATTGCCCCTAACTTCTGCCTGCCAGCCTGATCGACGCCTAACTGGTCCCCTGAGGACCCAATTGTTCCTAACTGCCCTCTCCTGCTCTCTTGGTCATCCCTAACTACCCTCTCCTTCTGGCTTGGTCGCCCCTAATTGCCCTCCCCTGCAGGCCCTCAACTGTCTTCCCCTGCTGGTATGGTCCCTCCCAACTGCCCTCCTCTGCTGGCCAACTTGTGGCAGCCATCTTGTGTCCACAAGGGAGTGGCCATCTTTGACCACATGGTGCAGCCATCTTGTGCAGTCAATTTGCATATTAGTCTTTTATTACCGTATATTGTATTATTAACATACGTTATATACATATACACATATATAATAATCCCTCTCCCATGCAGGTATCATGTAGCTCTCTTGGCATTGACCTGTTGGAACTGGAATTAGAGGAAGAGGCACAAGAAAGTGCCAGTACTCTGGCTACTGCTACTATTGTAACAGAGTCTTTTGTCTCTGGCCCAAGAGGCTCTTATCTTGTATTGGCATCCATGAACTTGTGGTAGGCTAACTGGCTACTTTGGAATGGTATAATATCTTAAACTTTTTACAACTTTTGACGATATTAAGTCATCCTATCTATGCAAAGAATACAAGTGGTATGGCTTATAGCATGGCGAAAAACTCAGATGGGTGGTAGGAAAATGGATTTTAGCATTGGTGTATGTATAAAATATGAATGACATATAGGGAAGACACTTCCTCATAACTCTTTAGGTAGCCAGGACAGCTTCTATTCTCAAAGTCTAAGATTATAGTTGTAAGAAAAAATAATATGACATGCAATGTTGCAGAATGCAGAAATGTGAAAAAAAATCTAACCATGTAAATGTTAAAGATACAAATTGTGATGACAGCAAGTACAAAGTTTATTTCATCTGCATTGAAATTTTTATCTGTAATATATCATAAAATGAAAATTTTCTTTTAACTTGTATATCAAAGAAAAAATAAAGAACCCTGCAAGAAAGTTCAAGTAAAATATTTTTATGATATACAAATGCCACTGAAGTGAAAAATCTTTAATAAGACCACCCAACCTTGACAAGTGTATTCACATAGGATTTAAAGAGTAATATTTGTATGATATACAGTAGGTGGTCTTTTGCATGGGTGAAATACTCCAGCTGACTTTGGTTCATGAATGCATCTAGGAGAATTATGATAAGTTTCTATGGGCCAAACCATAAGGTTACCCTAAATTTCTAATTCTGCTTTCAGATCCATAATTTTTGTGATGAAATATTAAAACTTCTTGGTCCTATGTGTAGGAATGCATCCATATGTATACTTATGAATACTAGGTATGATGGGAAATCTGTACCCACAGACTGCATTTACTTTTAATGACTTGTTCTTTATTTTCTTGTTTGACTATCAGGAAGCTCCAATGTAAAATTTTCAGCATTAATGGTAACAACTTTTCAGGCACAACTGTAGTCCTTCACTTGGCTTTTTATTCTCAATTCCTTATTTGACAGTTTTACTCTATATGTAGTTTTTGCCTGAAATTTTCTCAAATTATGTTCATAAGTAAAATAAAATCTACTGACCATGTATTTGTATGTATGTGTCTTCTAATTTTAAATGAAACATAGCTTAAATAAGGCTTTAAATTTCTCAGATCTCCAGGAAAACATAACAGAACAAAAGACGCCATTTAAAATCACATCATCAAAATAAAGCAACTTGAAAGACTATAACTGTTGTTACAATCTGTTGGAATTTCAAGTATGATAACTTACTTGCATATGTCATCTTCTGGTTCTTCAAGCCCAAATCTTTCATCAAATGTAAGTTGTATCCATACATTTTCTTCTGCTGCTACTAATCTCCATACCAAGACCATATTTCTTGGATAAGTGTGAGGAAACTTTGGGCTGTGAATACTTCCATTAGCAGACACAGTAATAATTCTCTCATGCTGGGGAGCTTGTACTCCTAAAACAAAAACATAGGCATAGATTTACATTGAGAACAGAGATTTTAAAAATTACCGATTTCAAAATAAATGTTTTTTTAATCATCCACATTTTACCCAAACTTGTGTTGGATATGCTTCATACAATATAAATTAAGTACTCCTCTTTTCAGAATTTAACCAGAAAAAAACAAAAAAAGATTATTTTTAATGGTATTGAGTAAAAACTTGTGTATAGGTATACTTCAAAGAACAAAGCAAATTAGTCATTTTAATGTAATTACCACAATTTCAAACAACCAATGCTTTTGGATTCCTAAAATTGCAATAAAATTAAAACCCTAATCTCCAAGAACTTATCAAATATGAGTCATATTAGAACAACACCAATAAACGTGATATAACTAGTTTTTTGTTGTTTTTTTAATATATTTTATTGATTTTTGTACAGAGAGGAAGGGAGAGAGATAGAGAGTTAGAAACATTGATGAGAGAGAGTCATCAATCAGCTGCCTCCTGAACATCCTCTACTGGGGATATGCCCACAACCAAGGTACATGCTCTTGACCGGAATCGAACCCGGGACCCTTCAGTCCCCAAGTCGATGCTCTATCCATTGAGCCAAACCGGTTTCGGCATATAACTAGTTTTAAAAATACAAATTATGAAGGAACTCTCCCTAATCATGCTAACCTTGAGTTCATCAAAATGTAAATTATCTGCCCGAGCCTAACCTAATAGGGTGAACCCTTAAAATAAGCTGGGCCCACCATGAATTCAGAGAAATTCAAAGGGTAAGAGAAATTCAACAGCAGGTTGATTATTTATTACTGGCAATGAACATGGAGGAGGTGACACGCCAAGGGTTGTGGGAAACCTTCAAAAGCAGAACACAGTCTAAGGCTGACCACTAGCAGGGAAATGGGACCTTAGTCCTAACACCTCAGGAACCTGGAGAAACTCGGAAGTAGACTCCTCCCCAGCCCCCAGAAAGAATCAGGTCTGGCTGACACCTTCATTTTAGCCTCCTGCAACTCTGAGCAAGAACCTAGTCACAGGATGCCCAGACTGCTGATCCATAGAGCTAAGACGAAATAAAGTGAGTTTTAAATGGCTAAATTTATGATAATTTCTTACATATTATTAGAAATGAATACATCTTCTATTGGGCATAAAGCTGATCAGATGGCAAGTTATACATTTTCTATGGGGCACAAAGCTGTTCAGATGGCAAGTTATTCCTTTTTTCCTCCAGTCTTCAATGACAATCAGAGTACTAGCACGTACACTAACTGCCACAACTTTTCACTTAGCATTATGTTAGTCAAAATACATGATTGAACTCTGGTAAAATGCAATTTAAGAATACTGCTCTAAGAAACTCCTTGAATTTAAAAGACGATGTCAAGAGTCATGTATTAGAAGGGTGATGTTATTAAGGTTAAAGAATAACTTTTTTGATTGTTAAAGCACCCAAAATAATTTTAACAAGTTTATGAATGATTCTTAAACAGTGTTTTCATCCTCATAAACAGCTGTTTTAACAATCAGTTTGGTAAGTATTTTTTTTTTAATTTCTAACCTAGAAATAGGGAGACACGGTAAAGACATATATAATGTTCTTGACAATACCCAGTATGTACACATTATGGGGAAGATCATCATATTAGTAAAATATGTTTTAAGTACCTAAATGTGTGCCTAACCTTGTCCTCAGCAGTAAGTAACCTAAATAGAAATATATTCTCTTTTAAATTGGATGCTAATTTTTGATATTGCTGTTGGCTATATTAACATATATGAAATGATCAATAATGCCTCTTATGCACATAATTTAGCACCAGCATATCTCCTAAGAAGACAAAAGATCTATCAAGTTAGATAATACCTTCCCTATAGAAAATAATGATAATTTACTATTAAAATTAAATTAATGAATTGTTTTCAAATCTTTCTTTTAAAAATGAGCCCTGGCCTAATAGCTAGGTCACTTAGAGTGTTGTCCTGAAATGGCAAGGTTGAGAGTTTGAACCCTGGTTATGGCACATATAAGAATCAATCAATAAATGCATGAATAAGTCAAACAACAAACCTCTCTCTCTCTCTCTCTCTCTCTCTCTCTCTCTCTCTCTCTCACTCTTTCTCTCTCTCCCTCTCTCTCTCTCTCTTTTTTCCTATCTCTCTAAATTAATATATTTTAAAATTTTAAATGAAAATGAGATATTTTCCTACTCCTTAAATTTTCTTCCAACAATCTATACATAGCAGTAGCTTATATCAAGGATTTTTCTGTTTGTATAACTAATATTTCTAATAAGTTAATTTTTTTCAATCAGATTTATTAACATTTACCCCATTTTGTCTCAAAGCAAATGCTTTATATCTCAAGGTACTATTTACAAATACAGAAATGTTTACTCTTTCATATATAATCTTGAAAACTTATAAAAGATTTGAATCTATTTTTATATCTCCAAGCAAAAAAGCTCATAGATAAAAAGTATATACTTAAATGTTAACCATTTTTTTCTTTTCTTTATAACTCACAATTCTGATAAACTATAAACATAATTCATAGACTAAAAGGCTAAGCCTTATTTGTACTAAGCATTGTAAATTTCCTAATTTAAATTGCTGTTCCTTAAAATTCATCTCAAAGTGCAGTGAGGTTTGCCAACAAACACATATGATTTATATAAATCTCAACTACTACCTTTATAATAAAAATGGGGGGCGGGGGAGAAAGCAACAAAGGGTAAGTTCTACCAAATTAAGAATCTGCATTTATAGCCCTACTATTTAAAAATATCATTTTCCCAAAGATATAACTTACTGGTATTTTAGGAATGAGATAGGTCATATTTTGTAACTATTTTATTAAATAACTTCTTTCCTATAGTCAATAACAGTCTGCACAAAGAAACACCAATAAAATAAAACTACTGCATGTAGTCAAATCATTACAATATTTCCAAGATACTCCATTCAATGTTTTCTAAACATTAATGAATTAATCATCATAGATAAATTTAGCATGGAAAATAAAAATGTTCACAAAAACTAAATTTTTTAAATTCTAAGTATAGATCATTTCATATTATCCTGTATAACCCCTTAAGGTATAAGTATCAAAAACTAAAATGAAACAAAAATAGGAAAAAAAGAATAAAGGCAAGTTAATAAAGCAAATACAATAAAATAGTTGATTATGTATATGCACATGTAATTCAACTACATAGAATCATTGTATATTCATATGTATTCAATAAGCTTAGCATTACAATTAAAATAATTTCCTAATATTTGCCAATCTGTTAGTCCCTTTGAAGCCAAAAGAGAGTAGAAATAAAAGGATCATAAACAATGAAAATTATAATAAATGAAAATGCATAATAAAGATAACACAAAAAAGGTGTTTCTGGATAATAAATAATTTATAAAGAAAGATAAATCATCCATTTTCTTCTCTATTCTAATGTTATAAGTTGATTGTCAAAAGAAAAAGCTGTAATACTAAAAACTCGGCAAAAAGAAAGGAGTCTCAACTCTTGGTCATAATATATGGGTTGATCTTTCTTTCCTACTCCACTATAAATTTCCAGATGACAAAACTATTTTTATTAAAGTTCACAACCAGTATCTAGCACTGTTCCCAGCACACATCTCTACTTCCTACATATCAATAGAAACAAATTTGATATCCCAGAAATAGCCAAAATCCATATTATGTGTCATTTTAAAATTTCATCTTTAATAGCTAAATTTCCAGAGACGGTTCATATAAAATTAAAGAGATTTTATAATTTATACACCTCATCAATTAAAGTCCCCAAATTTTTATTTGATTTTTTTACTCAAAATTCATCTATTAAAATCTACATGTATTTTTCAGCTGGAAACTACAGATAGTAGAGTACTCACTATTGAGATTTGCCATTTTCTTTATATGCTTGCTTAGTTTTTTAAAAATAAATGTTATATAATTTTGATGTATCGATATTTGAGAAAGCTACAATTATAGTCATTATTTTATCTTAACTATAAAAATAGATCAATTGATGATAAAATTAGTTACTTTAGGCAAGATAGTTGATGTCATTTTTTATAAATTAGAAGTAATCATTACCTATTTTAAAGTTCAATAAAATAACAACTGAATAAATTAAGCATCTTAATAACTATAAGTCAGTCTGAACATGAAAGAGAAACTTTGTCCACCACATCCTAATTTAAATACAATGAGAGAAAAAATTTATTATCAGGTATGAAGCTTTTCTGAAATCAGCAAATAGCAGATTGCTATGCAATATTGGTCATATGTATAAGGATTCCAGTTTCATCAAGATCAAATTGATTAAACAAAAAGCAGGGGTTTTGAGGCAGTGATTTTACATTTCTGATTTCCTTCTACAGGTTGATTAATGAAGGAGAAAAAAAGGACAACTTTATAAAAGTAAAAAAGTTGCCATTTCCTTTACCCTGATCCTAACTTTAAAAAAAAAAAAGTTTGATTTTTTTTTTCCCCCCCACTAAGAAGTATAAGAATTCAACCATTAGCCTCCTCTCGGTGAGCTATGGGAAGAAAGGGGGCCTGTATTCAGGAAGTTCCAGAAAAATCTGCTAATGAGAGTAAGTTAGCATAGGGAGTATTTTCTCAGCACCCCTCATTATCAATGTGAAATAGCCTCTGAATGAAAAATGGCAACACTGACCCTCCACAGGAGTATGCCTAGAAGCTCAATGTAAGTCCATTTCTCTCACTGCCTGGATGACTCTAATTGGCCAAATGGAGGGAATTCAATGGCTTCCCCATCCCTCCTAATACTTGGGAATTAGGACATTTAAGATGCAGAAGTAAGATCCAGAACTACTATAGTCATTAAGCCATCATAATATAATCCAGTCTGATACAGAAGTAGGCAGATACATGGTAATATAGAAAAAAATATGCTACCTCCCAGATCAAATAGCATAATAAATTCATTCCATCTCTGGGCTTCTCAGGTACATTACTAAATAA